GTGCAGATTACATGCTAGGAAAAAAGAAATGGAAAGGTCTTTACCAATTACTTGTAAATTCTAAATTAGCATTGGAAAAGTGAGAATTTAAAAATATGCCATCACAGTTAAGATGAAAGCCATGTCAACAGTGTATAGCACCTGAAAGTGAAGAAAGAAAATCTTCCAAGAAGTTGTTTCTCTGGGTTCTGCTGTCTAAAAATGATGCCAACCTCTAGAGCTGAAGATACGGGACTGACAAGAAACTACACAATGCTTAGGGCTTTGTGCCAAAGGAATCCTGAGAAGCATGTGGCAGAGTAAAAAAAAAATAGCCTTGAAAACTATATCCCAAAACTTGGCAATTAAATTGTTTCTCCACTATTTCTGTGATATTGACAAAATATCTCACTCCAGTTGATTTCAAATGTGGACTGTACTTCTAGCCTTGGGGCATCTAAAGATGATGTTTTGCCCACTGCATGTGTCTCTAACCTGATGAATTCCTTGTGTTTCTCTTGCCTCTTTTCTTTTATACATGGACCTCTGTGTGCAACCATTCATGCAGCATTCTTGCAAAAAGAATAGATTTTCTTTTCTGTATTTATGTGAAGCTGTTTTATAAATTTGTTGAGGGATGGTACTCACAGTTCCTCCCTTGTACAATTCTTGGTTCTCACTAGTAGTAAAAGCTGGATTAGGCCTTCCACTTCAGCTGTACAACAAATGCATGGAGCAGGGAGCATGAATACATCAGTAAGCATGCTGCATGACACACAATGGCACTGTTAGTACTGGACCAGCAGGGAGAAGGCGGGGACTCTGTAGTCTGGTGTATTTGTAGCCCCAAATATGCCAGGCATGACCCCAAAGAACAACAGCAGCATTCTGAGGGTGTTAGAACTAATTGACAGATTGCATCAGCATCAGCTCAGGTGGAATTGTGCACCATTTTAATTTATATTGTTTTTCCCACAGCAAGAATGTTAGTGATCTCCACCAATGAGACACTTGCACACAATTAAATTAGAAGCCCTAAACAAAAGGTTTGTTCCCTTTGCTAGGGGGAGTCTATTTCTCCCTCTCTCCCTACAATTCAATTCAGGTCCATTGTTCACACTTGTTGAATACAGTTCTGAATCAATTTTTTTTAAAAACAAAAAACCACCAGACAACTACTCTTCAAAAAATGCAGGGTTTTTTTATTTAATTTACTGCAGTTCAATGTGACTCCAAATTATCACAGTCACTTCTGAAACCATTCACAGTGGGAATGAGGCACATATACAGCGATTCGCAAATTAATGTAAATCATAGTGGGATCAAGCCCTTACATATCCCTTCAACATCTGATGTCTTTGTTGGTCACATGCTCCAAAAAGGTGGTGTCTGGTTGAAGCCATTGTCATTTTCACTTTTGAGGAGATGATTTGAAATAAAAATGTTGCACAGCTGAAGCCTTGGCATCAGCTGGTACAGTGATTAGCTTTGCAGAGCACATTGACAGCCCTAGGAAATAGGAGAATAAAGGTGCCTAAAGTCTGAAAGAAAGAAAAAAGTGGAGCATTAGCAGCAGCAAGCTATAAGGTGTGTGTGTGTGTGAGAGAGAGAGAGAAATGTGACTTCACTATCAATAAAATATAAAAACAGAAATGAGACAGCTAGTATATGAGAAAATGTGGCTGCTACAGGGAGAGGCAAGGAAATTCATCCACCATCCCTCAAGCCTAACTAAAACATGTGCTGACAAATACCCATACTGTTTTCTGTTCCTCTTGGATGTGAATGGAAGCTATAGAAGTCACATTTACCCACAGATTGGTCTACTCTACACGAGCAGAGTTTAGCCAATCAATCTAAGACTTGACTGGCTAAGGGTTCTGCTTCTTCTTTTTTTCTGACCTGAAGGTCAAATGCAAAGTAGATGTTGTTATTGACAATGTTGTTGTTATTATTATCCCAGCTTTTTCTCAACTCTGGGATACACTGGTGGTGCAGTGATTAAATGCCAGTACTGCAGCAACAATATTGTGAGTTCAATCCTGGAGAGCTCCAAGGTCCACTCAGCCTTCCATCCTTTCATAGGTCAGTAAAATGCATACCCAGCTTGTTGGGGGCAATTGGCTTAAATATTGTAAACCACATAGGGAGTGCTAGTTCACTGATAATAATAATAATAAATTTTATTTTTTATTTATTTTATATATTTTTATTTTTTATATACCGCCCTATGGCAAACCAATCCGGGCGGTGTATAACAGGTATAGAAATGTACTTGCTATTGCTATTGTTACATAAGTTTTAAACATATTAAAAATACACAGCATACAAAAGTTAAACTATATTTATAGTACACATCATTAATGAAATACATACCTTTTTAAAAAGAAAAAAAAACAAATATGGACAATGCAGCAATTATTAAAGGCCCTTTTCCATAAATAATCAGTACTCAAAGGACTTCAAGCATGCTTTTAAACTGTACCGTAAAGAATGACCATAACTATTCATTTACAAAAAGCATTGCTTGGTTATCCAATCCAGATTGGGATATTATTTTATTTTATTTTATTTTATTATATTTTATTTTAATATTGTTCTTAGTCTTTTAAGGGGGGTATTGTATTATTGTTTTATTGTAATGTGTGTTTTAATCTGTAAACTGCCTCGATTGCCTAGGCAAAAGGTGGGATATAATAAAATAATAATAATAATAATAATAATAATAATAATAATAATAATAATAATAATAATAATAATAATATAACTCAGGAGAAGGGTTCCCCCTACCACTTTGGGTTATCTTGCTATGGAAAACTGCCTTGACACTGCTAGCTATTGTATTTTAATCAACTGGATTAATTACCATGCCTTATCCTTTTACTCATTCAGTCCCACCTCTGATTGACAGCCACACTGTCTCCTTGGTGAGGCTCCATCTTTGATTTTCACTTTCCTTTATGTAAAATATTTATATTCTGGCATTCTGCCATTTCCACAAGGCAGGGTACAGCCATGGCTGTTGACAGAGTTATGATACCTCATGGCTTGAAGCTTTTGGGTATGGCTGCTAGCAAACATTCTGTCCATATACTTTAGCTGTCACTATGGTATACCTGGCAGGATTTCCACATGAACTGTAAAAAATATGTTGTGCCATGCTCATGAATATGATAAATATTTCATAATTGCATCCATGGATAATTTCAGAGATTACCTTGCAGAATGAAGTCCTTACTCTTCTATTTTCATATTTCCCTGTCTGTTCCTCTCCCATATTCTATCATAATATATTTAACATTGTCCAAGAACCATTCTTCATTGTTGCCAGCAATCACTGAACTCCTTGAGCCTTAAGACTCATCAGTGTTTGAGTCTGGACATTTTTCAGAAGTGTTGTAAAATATATTTATTTGTGAGTAGGCAAATGACTGGGCTGAAACACTGGAGGGATGTTTAATTCTGGCACAGTATTTTACTGTTTTGATTAGGAGATTATGTATAGATTTTATCTCTCTCTCTCTCTCACACACACACACACATTGTATTTCCCCAAAATACATCGGGCTTGAAATGCAACATGCCTGATTAATTAATAGACAAATATTTTATGCTGGAGGAACTGTCATGACTTAATTTAACAGGCCAGCCTGCCATTTTCTCTTAATACTGTTTTTACATTTTTAGCAAACACTTAAAAGGTTAAGTACAATTTTAAATCCCTAGTGGAGCAGACTCATTGAATAAATTCTTATATAAGTTTTGACTTTACAAGACCCATTGATGCAGTGGATCTACTCTAGTTGAGATTAACTTTTGGATTAAGCCAAAGATGCTTTAAATCCACACTTAAAAATTTGAAGTGTGAAAGGAATGTTATCAAAGAACTGCATATAGTTATCATTGTCATACAGCCATGACTGGCATGACTAAAACATGTATAAAATAATTATCTGTCACATGAATGTTGTGACATGAATTCTCAGAGGAAAATGTCGCATGAATTCCCAAAGGAAAACCTAATTTTCCATCTCAGTGAAATTGCACTGTTTCAAAGAGAGCGAGAGCAAGCAAATGTTTACACTGGTTACATAGAAAGTAGAGTATGAGTCTGGATCTTCCAAATCAGGTATGTATTATGCATTATCTGGCCTCCTTCACATGATTTTAAGTTTTTAAGTTGGTGGATGATCTACACTGGGAGTTGGACAAGAGGAGTAAGTCTCTATTGGTCCTACTGGATCTTTCAATGGTGTTTGATATGATTGACCATGGTATCATTCTGGGTCATCTGGCTGATCTGGGATCTGGGACCAGTGATTCTGGTCTTTCTTGGCTGGAGGTGCCCAGAAGGTAGTGCTGGAGCATTCTTGTCCAGCCTTTTCACCATTAGTCTGTGGAGTTCCACAGGGTCAATATTGCCCCTTATGCTTTTCAACATCTACAGGAAGCTGCTGGGAGAAGTCATTCAGAATTTTTGGTGTCATTAAACTTGCTGCTAATACCCAGCTCTATCTCTCCTTGACAACTAATGCCAATGAAGCTGTGGTGATACTGAATCATTGTATGGATGCTGTAAGGATTGGATGTAGGTGACTAGGCTCAGGCTTAATCCAAAAAAGATGGAGGTACTGTTGGTCAGTAGGAAAACCAACCTGAGATTAGATTGTAGTCTGTTCTGGATGGGGATACACTCCCCCTAGAAGATCAGGTCCATAGCTTGATGCTCTTGGACCCAGCGCCTCCTGGGAATCATTCTGCTTCACCCCGATTCCTAGCAAAACAGATCTTCATTGCTTTCAGCAGCTCCCTGGAAATTCAGGGGACATTTATGATCATGGCAATATTGTCAGAATCATGAATATGTAGTATAATGTAATACAGAGCAGTTGTTGTGTGCCTTCAAGTCATTTCTGACTTATGGCAACCCTATCATAGGGCTTTCTTGGCAAGATCTGTTCAGAAATGGTTTGCCATTGCCTGAGAGAGTGTGATTTGCCCAAGGTCACCACTGGGTTTCATGGCTGAGCTGGGATTTGAATCCTGGTCTCCAGAGTCAGAGTCCAACATTCAAACCACTACACCTCACTGGCTCTCATATACAGATCCATAACTCTTGGTTTTCAATCCATAAATGCCATACAGGATGCCAGCCACTTTTTTTCTCTCTCTCTGTGGAGCATCCACCAAATCTGTCAAATAGTAAAACAGAAATCCCTCTCTGGTAGAATTGTACAGTGGGCAATAAAAATTGTAAAGTGAGGCAACTGCATCTTGTTTTAAGGCAGAATTGCAGTTCCTGGATGTTTCTTTCAGGAACAAAAATAGCACATTTTTCACTGATTTTTTTATTTTTTATTTTTTGTGGGGAGAAGGCTTCAGGGTAGAATCTAGGAAGCCAGAGGCCACAGGATTCTAGGTATGATCTTTATGGACCAACAAAGTTTCAGACATAAATCTTTTCCAACCTTACAGGCCACTGCTTAGAATTCACTTTGGGCCACCCCTGGCTCATGCAAAGCATGTGTTGTTGTTGTGTGGCTCCAAGACATTTTTTACTTATGACAACTCTAAGGTGATCTTATAATAAGTGCCCTACCACAAAGCTACAGTAGATACATGAGCAGAGAATGCCTTGATTTTGACTGTGTTCCTCAGACATGGCATTATTTATCGACATGGAACAGCAAGAAGATCCTGAGCAAGACATTATTGGTCTTGTGCATGCAGAACAGGAACAAGCCTGAGCAGGAAGAATAAGAAAAAGATATATTTCTAACATGCATGGTATGGCATGTGAATTATGCCGCCCTAAGGCTGTATATATTGTTATATCTTCCAATGAACATTTCTTGTATCTCAGGCTATGGAGGATTGTTACCAATCAAATGTTCTCATTCATTAGGAACGCAGGCATTTCTTCACGCCTTAGTTTTTTGGAAAAGAAATTTTGGCTTTATGCCATTATCATATGGACTAAAACACAAAGTAATAAAATACCAATGTTTATTATTCATTGAATATTATTCTTTGTGTGGTCCTCATAGCCTCAAATGGTCAACAACCCACCAGGTTTCCCACACACACAGACACACACACTTTGGTTCAAATTTAAATAGCATGAATTGTTCTTTCCAAAGAATTATAACCAATACATTGCATGCAATCTCCTCTGCTTCTCTAAGAAGCCTTGCCTGCAGTGTTATGGCTCTCTTTACTTATCATATATTTATGGAGCAAGTCTAGACTCTGCTTTCTTCATAAATCTACCACAACATTTCTAGAACACATTGTTTGTTCAGAGGGGGATTGTCTTTTCCTTTCTCTCAGACTGAGAGGGTGTGACTTGCCCAAAGTCACCTAATGGGTTTCCATGCATAAGCAGAGATTCAAACACTGGTCTCCAGAGTCATAGCCCAATGCTTATATCACTATATCATGCTTTAGTTCGTGCACACCTTTGCTTTATTTTTTTCAAAAGCACAAATATCTGCCATTTCTTCTCCCCCTGCCTCATAGTGATCTTGGAGAAATATTATTGTAGCTCAATTGGAGACTAAAGGTGTGCTTCCAGACAGAAAGTTCCAATTACAATTAAAAGGCAATGTGAAGCTATTTCCTGATTGATCCCAGCCTTAGGAGTTATACATTTTCCCCGTTTTCTGTCTTGATTGCCGCTGTCTGATTTTTGTCTATTTATTTTTACTATGTTAGTTTGATCCACTTGGTTTTAATGGATATTGGTTTAATATGCTTTTATGAGGGAAGGTGGGGTGTTGGGGTTTTTAGATTGTATTGATGTATTTTTAATTGTTGTTGTAAGCCACCCCGATTGTTTTAACAGAGGGGCGGGGTATAAATAAATAAGCAGTAAAATATTTAAAAGTCCAGCACATCTCTTTCAAAACATCAGATTGTATCAGACAGTCAGCTGGTGGAGGACTGTCTGCAGAGAAAAACCTCTGCTTGCTAATGGAAGGACGACAGAGAGGGAACTAGTCTCTCTGTTTCATAATGCAAAAATTTCCACAAAGAAATATGTCTCTAACACTTGCACCAAGCATACCTCTGAAGATGGTGGGCTGAGAGAAAGGCCTCTCCTGCAGATTTCTACTCACAGGGAGTTTGGGGAACAAAATATAGGTGCTTTAGATAGCTTGGATCCATATCATATAGGCCTTTCTGGGTGATAATCAGCACTTTGTACTGTAACTGTTGTGTATTCACAATCACTACTTAGTCATTATTTTGATACAATTGTAACATCCTACCAACCTACTTTACTGGGCATCAGCTGCATGAGAGAAGGAGGTCCATTCTGCCAGTGATCAGAGCATGTTTGAGTAATGTTTCTATCCAGTTTGGAGAGGGCAAACCATGAGAAGTTACTTAATTAAGTACTTAGTTAAGCTGATACAGGAGTCCAGCCATGATTTTATTAAACTATTAGCCATGGTACTTTAAATAAAAGTATTATGTAGGCATTGTGGACCTTTATTCCAGAACCTCTGAAGCAGAATGCATCTGAGAGGTGAACTGTTGTCCACAAAAACCTCTGCCAAATGTATCATGTTAGTCTGTAATGTGCAACAAGATCCTTTGTGGGGATTCCCCCTCCCCCCCCAGAATTCTGTTTTCAGATGGAAATGTCATTCTTGTTTACTACATCCTAATTGAGGAGGAGAGTTTACTGAAATGTATATTTGTTGAGAACAGTGAGGCTCTTTGCTTTCTTTTATTGCCTTCCCACCCAAGTCAATAACTTTCTTTGCCATTGTGTCATGCTGCAGATAGGGTTTTCATCAGTGCTGCATGCTTTCAAAGCAGTCTGTCAGTTGTGATCAAACCGGCTGTTTGCTGCAAAGCACAAAACTCAACCTGATGCCTTCAAACCCAGCCCGTCAGCTAGCAGGAAGTTCCAGCTGAGGTTCACAGTTCCAAAGTCTGCAACCTCCTAATATTTTCAAGGTTTCATGTGCTTTGCACAGGTCAACACATGGTCTGTTTCTTCTAAAAGTTCACCAACAGTTTAGTAACATAACATCTTGTGCTTGGCAAGGAGGGAGAAGAGGGAGGTGCTGTGTAGGTTGTAAGAAAAACACTTATTTACCTTTTTCAACACAGTTTTATATAATATTGGTAAAACTGACATTTAAAAATTAGAGAGCTAGCAAATTGTTATCTGATTTTTTGACAGAGCTTTTGCTTCCCCCCTTCCCCATTACCTACTCCCCTTTATATTTAAAAATCTACATATGTAGTCATTAAAAGGGTTAAACAATATTGGCACACACATGACTTTAGCTCTTTTCAGATGTGGTAAATGTTCAGATGTTGTAGGGAAATAATGCATGTTAGTTCCAGATAGTAAACTAAATCATAGCTTTAGAGAAGTACCTTTTTGAACTGCAAATCCCCAAATCCCCAGAGCCAACATGCCTATTGACTGGGGCATTCTGGGAGCCATACTTCCCCCAAGTAACTTTTCCAAGTTTTAATTGAATATGTCATGCCTTCTGTCACCTAAGCATGCGGGGGGGGGGGGGGGGGGGGGGGGGAGGAGGAAGCAATATCAATTTTTGGTTAACTTGGTGATCCAGTGCACCTAGTTGTGCCAGGCATGGGTGGAAATTCTATTTGTTTTTTTATATAAGAATTTATCAAATTCTTGTCAAATGTGTTGTGTGTTTCTTTTTTATAAGAACCTATCAAATTCTTGTCAAATGTGGTGTGATTTCTTTTTAATTTTGTTTTTTTAAAAGCAGTATCAATAAAAATTATACATAAAAATCACAAATCTAAGATTTAAAAAAACATGTTAGAGAAAGCAAATGATTAGATTCAACCTTTTAGGTAGGCAGAGGGCTTTGAGTGCTTCTCTTTAAGGTCCATCTGTATTCAGTCATGTTTCTGCTGTTCAGCTAGGATGGCCCAGTTTTTTCCTGACTGGTCAGAGCTTTAAAATGTTACTTTTTGGACTTCAACTTCCAGAGTTGGCTATGCTGTCTGGAAGATCCCAAGATTTCAAAAGATAAATTTTCCAAATGCTGCGACAGCCTTCCCATCATAAATGAATATATGTCAAACAAGTTCAAAATGATCATCTCCATCCTGGGAATTTCTGTCTCTGGGCACATCCAGAAGGGGAAAACATTTCTGGAAATATTGAGAGTTTCCAGTTTTTTTGTTTTAATTTTACCTGCATATTCCCAGGTTTGCATCCAAACTTCGTGAAATATTCTGGTTGCCTTCCCTCACCCTCCCTTGTGACTGATACAAGATTTCAGAAATCATGTAGACCCATAGAAAATTTTGGAAATTGATTTTTGTACATTTCCATTGAGCCTTCTTTATTATTGTTCTGGAGTTATATTCAAAGGGCTAAAGTGTTTCAGAAATATTGGACTAGTAACATTGGGATCATTTTTGTTTTTGTTAAACTAGTCTTGTTTTGTTAAACAAGTATTTCACCTGTTTGATCTCTGCTGTCCTGGAAACAATAGCTGTGTTTACTGGCAGCAGCCATCTTAGATACATCCCAGGATATGCTTTGGGATATAGAAAATATGTGGCTCTGCAAAATAAAATCAATTTGTACAGGAACAAACTCTGGGACTTTTAGCACCTTTTTTGCTCTTCTGGAGGGGCTCCCTTTTGCATTTGGCCAGTGTAAATGGTTGAGAATGTGTTTTTAATAAGGATTTACCAAAATATACACAATATGTTTCATAGTGCTGAAGAAAGAGTTTAGTAATTTTCTGGGGGAAAATGCACCCAACTGAACTTGGGAGAAAGTGAAACTGACATATTTTGTCATTCTTCCTATAAGAAGATTTGGGGTTGAGTTTGTCTAATCCTAGTGGCAGTTGTTGGTTTTCATGTTAGTGGGATGGTGAATTTCCTCTGGGTTGTAAATGAGTTCTACAGGGTGCTGATTTTATTTGTGGAAGTAAAGTTCAATCCCTATCCTTTAATAGCTCCTTTATAGTTCAAACTAAGAAATTCACCACCCCTCCAATATGGAAGACACCAGTAGGCACAGACCACTGTTTGTTATTATAAGGAAGAATCCTAAATAAAGAATTTACTACTT